ATTTGGAATGCCTTTGCTGGCTTGATGATGGAGTTGGGCATCTATCTGGCAAGCAACAGAGCACCAACACCGTTGGAGAAGGGCAGGTAGCTCTCCTTCACTCCATTTGATAGGATAGGATGGACTACGGCCCAAGGAGCCCAACTTTTTGTTTTTGTTCTTCCACGAGTGACCTTATCCCCTTGTTCTTTGATTTAACCTTGATTTACTCCTATCACCAAGCAGGCTCCAATGGTGCCGTTCTCCCACCCTTTTCAAAACCTGTCCTTGTACAACTTTGATACTTAAAGCCTGAAACTTAGCTCACTTGTTAGCAGTAGCCATGGTTTTACGAAAGGCCCCAGTGCCCAAGCCTGCATTGGCGAGGCTGTTGGGCTACCTTTGAGGAGGCTGAGACTTCACCCCTGTTGCCCTTCAGGCTGTGCTTACACAGGTGGCCCTCCGTCAGTGCTTAGTTAAAGCATTATTTGCAGGCACACCACATCTTTGAATGTTTTTTATTTGTCATTGGGGGAAGCAAATTACACTCATCCAATCCATTCATTCTCCCAGTGTCGCTGAGCACGGCATAATCTTTGCTGTGCCAACTGCCCTAGGACTGGTAGCCGTGGAAAAAGGAGGTTAGCTGCAGATATTCCAAACCTGCTTTCTTGTGTAACTCTCTTCAGGCACCCTGGATATGATGCTAAAAAAGATTAATAGAACTGATAGCATCATGTTTATGAGGCATAAAACACCCAACTGTGGATTAATGGATATCCCAGTGAAAGAAACACGTCTTTACTCCTTTATAACTTGATGGGTGAGCTACAGTTGGCATCATTGGAAATATATGGAGAGGTTGACTTTAGAAGGTCAGCTTTTAAAGGACTTTTTTGACCTCTAAGTCAATGAAAATAGATTTTTGTTGTTGACCAAGACAACTGTAACAGAAAACTTTCAACCTTTAAAAATATTGTTATTGAAGTATAACATACAGAAAAGAACACACAACCTAAATGTACCATTTGATAAATTTTTACAAACTGAACACATCCGTGGAACCAGCACCCAGATCAAAAAGCCAGCGTTCCAGGCAGTCCCCTCGGTCCCTTTCCACCAACCGTCACCCCTGAGTCATTGCTGTTCTAAATTCTAACACCATAGCTGATTTTGCCTGTTTCTCTAATATTTTTTAACTTTATAGAAATGGAATCATCCAGTGTGTACTCTTTTTGTCCTGGACTCTTTCTGTGTGAGTAGATCACAATTTATTTATCTATTCTGCCATTTTCGGCACTTCAGTTGCTTCCGTTTTGGAGATATTGCAATTGTGGTGCTGTGAACGTGAGGATGTGTATCTTTTTGGGAACATAGGTGCACATGCTGCCAGGAGTAAGCCTAGGAGTAAAATTGCCCATAGTTTTAGGCTGTGTATAAATTCAGAAGGTGCTCAGTTAATAGCTAATGAATAAATGAGTAAACATAGTCTCTCAAGAACAACCTTTTTATAAAATTGTTATAGTGCCTACCATAAAAAAAAAAAATTAAAACCATGCTCCTGAGCCTCAATTTTTAGGCATTCCTATATATCCTAATGAAATTTATCTGGGACTAGAATGGATCACCCAGGCCCTTCCTCCTTTGCACAGGTCAGATTTCCAGTCTCTCGGTCGGGTAGCAATCAGACTTTCTATATATTTTTGTCACTACACTGTGCCTTCTACTTGACCCACTCAGTCTGAGCTTTTCAGCAAGAGTCTAGTGTCACGTAGCTGAAACAGAAAGAATCCCAAAAGTGGCAATGAAGAGTATCGTCTCTAGGAATGTGTGCCTATGATTTGCTTACAAATCTGCACTTTGAGCAGAGTTGAGCAGGAACAGCGCATCTCTGCTCCCTGTGCCATCACCTTGGGGAACTCCAAAGCCGGGAGCTGAAATCGTCTAGAGGCTCCTCACTTTCAGCAGGGTCACTGGCCACAACTTCTACACGTGGGTTCTTCATGCGGTATCTCTGCTGCCTCCTGGCATGATGTTCGGATACAGGAAGGAATCTCCAAAAAGGCCGGGCAGAAACCACACCACCTTTATGACCTGGACTCAGATGTTACATATCATTTCTGCCTCTCAACGAGAGGAGTATTAACACTACATTTTAAGAGGAGCCTGAGGGACCTGGCACCCTGCTGCTGCAGCATCTTGGAAAATGCAGAATACCTCAAGCACTGATCAACACCCACGATGAGCTTATGAACACGAGGCCTGTAACCAAAATGCGGCCTTGACTAAGAGAGACCCTGCTTACTCACACGTGTGTAAGTAAATACACGCGCGTGTGCTTGCAGAGCAGTACCTGGCCAAAGAAGTAAATTCTCGGATTCATCTTGTTCCCAGGATGTGTTCAGTGCCCTGCCTGAAGGCCAGGCCGGGAACTGCGCCCCTCAGCTAGTGTAAAATTCAAGGACCTGTTCTTCATCCATCTTCTGTCCGGGAAAGTAAGTCAGGCTGCTGAGTTTGGGACCCATTCCATTTCCATGGTAACAAAGCCTAAAATGCCGAAAGTAGGTTATAATTCTTTGCAATATTTAAGAAACCTGTATTTAGTCTGTGCGGTGTTTAAGAGCACACTTAATAGGAGTAGATAGTATTACCACTAACCCCTCTCTCTCCACACAAACACGCTCACAACACACAGGCTACATGAGTGTTTTAAAAAATTCCATAATTTATACTAAGTTACCATGAAACTAAGGGAAACTGAGTATAGATGAGATTGTCCAGGTTGGTCTTCTTAGATCTGCTTCGAGTCAAATTTTTTTGTTTTGATTTTGATCCCATTTAGATGGTTTTAGAAAGAATCTGACCATTTGAAGCCTGGAGCAAAAGTCAACCATCATAGGTGGAGAAGTGAGGATAAATATGGTGTTTGGCAGCTACAAGTAGCTCGGTGCAGCTGGAGAGTAGAGCGTGTCTAACACAAGTCTTACTTTTAGTGTTAGAACTTTTAGTTATGAAAGATTTAAAATATACAAGAAAGTATAAAAAATGACACAATAACCACGTGCTTACCCCCATAGTTAATAGCTGTTACCCGTTTGCCATATTTTTCTGAAATCTCCTTTGCTTCTAAATAAATAAAACATTCACTCTTCAGTTAAAGCCTCTCTTGTCCAGCTCTTTACTTTCCTCCCTCCCCAGACGCCACCACCATCCTGAAGTTCGTGTGCGGCACCCCTATGCGCGTTTCTGTATATTCACGCTTGTGAATGAGTCCCTACCCTGTCGGACCTTTGTGCTCTAACAACTTATATAAATGGCATCATAGGGTATGCGATCCTTTGGAACTTGTTTCTGTTGCCCAATGTGATGATACTTCTCTTTAGCCACAGGGCACCAACACACCATAAGGAGAGTGGGGACCGCCATTCGGTATTGCTCAGAGAGTTAATCACTTATGGGACTAAGTTTATAGTTCAGCTGGAGAGTAAGTTGATGGTGACGGGTTTTGCGTGTGAGGAAAATGTTATGGATACGCAGACAGGACGGGACACCAGCCACCCAAGCGAATACTGGGAAAAGAGGCGACGGGCATCTGCACACAGCCCCCGTTTTGGAAGGCCAGGCGCTCGGCCAGCCTGCCTTATGCAGGCGGTCCCCGGGCTGCGTGGTGTCTGGTGGTGATACCGCAGACGTCCAGTGAGTGCCCAGGAGACAGTGCACCTAGGTGCGGGTCTAGACGTGCGCACGGATCGAAGGGTCATATCTCTGAGTTTCCCCCAGGGACCCTGGTGATTCGTCGTGTCCTGACCCTCCCTGTCCCCACACCCACCCCTGTAGATCTTCTCTCCTACTGGGAACTTGGGCCGTGGCGATCGTGATCTGAACCCCACAGGCCGGGAGAGCCAGCGGAGGGCTGGGTGGACGACATCCCCTGGGCTCGCTAGTGTCCTGCCAGGTGTGCATCCCGCTTCCACCCCGCACTGTCTGCCAGGAGAAATGCCTCCCTTGATGTCCTGTTCAATCACCAGTTGTAGTTTGATAGACTGAGTAATTTTTAACTCACTGTACATTGTTACAATAGAGGAACTAGAGGGGTATTTATTTCAAGGCACGGAACTGAGTCACTGATTCAAATCAGATATGTGTGAGTCACTGCCCACGCTCCATCTCTCGCCTCTGCTTACCTGCTACCCTCTGAATGTCCCCGAGAAGCCCCTTACGTGCAGAAGCGCCCTCTAAGCAGAAAAAGGGACGGCACACACATCTTACTTTTGCGGTGGCGTTTGCTTATCTCGTAACACTTACTGGATTAGAGGTATAATGGCATCGTAGAACTGTCAGTTAACTGTAGTTTATTTCTGTTGCATTTGTGAGCATGTTAAGCTGAGAGCCAGCGGCTCCATGCAAAGTGGACTGGAATGAGCTCTGTAGGCTGCGTTCCAATACCGTCAGGCTTGACCGACATTGGTAACAAGGGAGGGACCGAGAGCTTCGTTCGCTGGCACACTTACTGTCACTCGCTGCACCCCTCGCACGGGGCTTTCATGAGACGTAAGGCCTGGGCGTCCCATGGGAATCTCCCATCCTGTCTGCGGCTTGCTGTAGTGTGGCTTATTGTCATTTACTATTCCTGATTCGATTCATGTAGCACCTTTCCCCCAAACGGCCCGTGGGTTTATTTACATAGAGTACACACACACACACACACACACACTGACACACTCGCATGCACACACTCCCACACACTCCCACACACGCACAGCCTCTCACACACACTCACACATACATACAAGCACACACATACTCACATACACACGCTCACACAAACTCACACCCACACACACTCACACACTCACACTCACACTCACACACTGGAACTCCACTCAGTGCTGTCAGGTAGTTGGCGGCACAGCACCAAAGCTCTGTGGGAGGCCTTCCCGTCTGACTTTTGCGCCAAGACCTGTTCTGGGAAGGCAGTTGTCCTGTTTCCTTTCACTTGAGTGTTTATTGTTTGCCTCTAGGTTGATCGAATCATCTTCTGCGTCTTCTTAGAAGTGGACTTCAAAATCTACAAGAAGAAAATGAGCGAGTTTTTCCCTGTAGGTGAGTAAAGCAATTTGTTTCCTTTGGAACTGAGGATTGAAGAAGTAGAGGCATCACTTCCATTTCTATTTTATTTCGCATCTTAACGACCATAGCAAATGTGATCTCCATGCCCCAGGCGCCCCAGGAAACCTGTATCATAGTTTTTAAGAACTCAAGGCGATGACAGGAAACCTAGGCCCGAGGTCCCTGTGTCCCATGAGACCATTGTGCTGTCTTGGGGACATCAGTGCATCTCTTGAGTCTCAGTCCCTCATATGAAACGTGAGAGACTGGACCGAATGACTTCTAAAGGCTCACCCTCTGGCCCTAAATCGCGTGACCTGTGGTTTCTCCTCCACACTTATAAGTTGTCCGGGCCTGTGCCCACCCACGTCGGCCATGTAGCACCTTTGCTGGAAATTGTGAGGGGCCCATTGACATCTGCAGCCAGAATTTAAACTGCTCCTGCATTACAGTCCTGCCCCCCATCTCCTGGCCCAGGCTGCAAAGAAGCGAGCGGCACTTCCTACGGCAATGAGAAGCGTCGCCTCTGTTCCTTCCACACTTGTTTCTGAGAATGTAGGTGAAACCTCAGGGTTATTATTAAAGAGCCTTGAGTAGTGGCTGTGCATTGACCGAATGTGCCATTAGCTGGACCTGCTTGATTTGAATATTTCCCCCCATGGGCGCCTTCCAGCCTGTGAAGGCTGAAGTTTGTTTAATGCCTGGCCATTTCCGTGGTGCCATTCAAGTCACAGTGCCCAGAGCGCTTCCCTCGGCCACGGTCAGCGTGGCCTCCAGGAAATGTCAGGCTCCCGTGAGCACTGCGGGCCTGCCCCGCGGTGGCCCGCGGGGTGTCCACCTGCTGGAGGTGGCCAACTCGGCTCACTTGCAAAGTGGGCTGAGTCCTTCCGAGCAATCTGAGGTCCTCGCTAATCGGCGGAAAATCTGCCAAGTGTATTGAGGCTGGGACATGAGCTCCAATATTTCCCTAACTAGAAAATAACGTGAATTTGGAAAGACTCCTGTGCTGAAGACAAGGACTGTGGTTGTGGTCCTTTTGTCCCTGCTTTCCCTTCCCTTTTTCTGCCCCCCTCCTCCTTTTTTCACCTTTCTTTTCTTTTTTTAAGCAACTAGGAGTTGTGCAGACAGAAAAGCACTTAATGACTATTTAGCAGATAGCCGTTGATGTGAGTTGAATGTAATGAATTCTTCCCCCCATAGCCTAATGGCCTATTTTTTCTGCTTCGGCCTCTTTGTTTCATCTTTTCTCTTTATTTCCCGTGTAGCCACAGTGAGCTGTTTATTCCTGTAATTCTGCATTTTTAAGTTGTCTAAAGAGGATTTATTTCTGTAAAAAAAAAAGTGACTTGTCATGGTATGTAGTGTGAATATTTTCATATCTTGTCACTATCACAGTATATTCTATAAGATTTTATAAATTTTGGACTCCTTGAGAAGTTTAAAAATGGTGACATAATTTTTATTTTTATGTCTTCTAAGATGAAAACTTGATTTCAGGCTAACATAAGATAAAAAGTAAGTGCACAAATACAATCCATTGATATTGAAACAAATCTATCCATTAGCAGGTATTTCCAGTGATGCAAAGCCAAAAATCATACTACAGTTTTTAAAAATGAGACAGTTTTAGTGGTTTAGAATGTATTAATAACTATGCAAATAAGTGATTGCTTGAAAAGTTGCTATTCTAAATAAATCCAAACTACATTTTAATACTTGAGCCAGTGAAATAATAATAAAGTCATCTTCAGTTTCACATCAATGCTTTGAATATGGCTTGTTCATGAAATTATTTCCAGTGCATATTTATAAGTCAGTGCATTTTTAAACTTAATGTCAAAATCCTCCAAAATTGTTGAATATTTCTGCAATGCTGAGGCAGCAGCCATTTGTAAATTCTAATTATGGAATATAAAATAAGCGGGGCCTTGAATGGAATATGTGACTACTAATATAGATGATATATATTATCTGTCCATAATTCGAATTTATGGTTAATTTATAACCATACCATCTTTGATTAGAATATAATTTTTCTGACTTGCCATATATTCTCCCTAGACTGACTCATTTAGAGTATCTCTAGCTAGTCTTCTTAACCCTTTTCAATGCAATAATGATAACAGTTTAAGGGAAAAATGTCTTTTCTATATTAAACCAAATCTCTGTTTTGGGGGGGGGGTAATCATACATCTTTAAATTTCACAATTAGGAATCTGAAAGAAAATGTATGAGAAAACAATACAAGTTGGGCTAGAAAAATCATATTAAAGATATAACACATGCATAACTATTACCTAATATTAGTGATAGGAATAACAGTTAACATTTATAATTGCTTTCTATTAGCCGATACGTGGGCTAAGTCAATTAATCTCCATGATAACTCTAAGGAAGTGGGCACGATATTAACCCTACCTTTTAGATACAGAAGATGATGCATACTTGAGAATTATGAGGTATACAGCCACGGAACGATGTAGTTATATTTTAAAATTGACAATGACGTCTGTCATTGCACAAGTGATATTAGGTTAATCTCCTCAGAGCATCTTCAGAGAAGGATGGGTTCAACTTTGAGGATGCATTTGGAAAGTGGAGAAAGTCTCATTTCTAATTTCATCTAGTGCCCATCATTTTTCAAAGCTGCCATGCTTCTCTTTCTTCTAATACCTGTAAGTGTCCTCATGAAATCTTTTCTAATATGAGTCAAATTGGTACTTTATTATAGATCTCAAAATTAAATTCCATCCAAATTATCCCAGTCAGAGTGGTGCTATTACCTGTAGGAGAGCAGGAAAGGGGTCAGCAGGAAGTCAAGAGACCTACAGCGTGGCCATGAGGGAACATGGAAAATTGCCTGTGTCCGTTTGCTAGGGCTGCTGTAATAAAGTGCCACAGATCTGGTGGCTCAAACAACTGAAATGCACTTTCTCACAATTCTGGAGGCCACAAATCCAAGATATAGGTGTCAGCAGGTTTAGTGTCTTCTGAGGTCTCTCTCCTTGGCCTGTAGAAGGCCACGTCTCTCTATCTTCATGAGGTCATCCCTCTGTGTGTGTCTGTGTCCAAATCACCTCTTCTTATAAGAAAACCAATCAGACTGCATTGGACCCCACCTTAATGGCTTCATTTTGACTTAATTACCTATTTAAAGACTCTACCTCTAAATACAGTCACTTTGTGAGGAAATGGGTGTTAGGACTTTGACCTACATATTTGGCAGGGTGGGGTGGAGTGGGGGTGACGGGCACCAGCCCCTAACAGGTCCCATCATGGAACTACAGTAGGAACCTCAAGGAAAGAAACCAGTAACAATTTTTTCCCCAACAGTTTTATATCTTGCTGTGGGTGAAGCACATTTGACATATTTCCTTCCAGATGTATTATTTGGAAGTCTAGTGTGGCGACTTTATGGAATTATTATACACTTTGGTTGCAAATAATTTATAGTTACAGTGCACCATTACATGGCCTAGAGCAAGTAATATTTGTATGATTCAACCCAGAAATCTCTTTGTTCTCAACATAAAAGTATTATATTTTTTAGTGTGTAGGATTTCTTGTGTGTAGTTTTCACTGATTTGGAATATGGAGGACAATTTTTTAAAATGTGAGTCTAAGTCCTAATTGAGAATTTAGAGATATTAACTTTCCTCACAATAATAATGTCAAATTTACAGATTGGCAACTATATCAAAGAATCCTGATGTTGGAAATTGGAGAGATATCATGGTCAAATTTCCTCCCTCCCTCACTTTAGGGGAAACTTACATTTGTTTACTGCAGTGGTTCTCAGCTAGGGGTGATCTTGCCCTTCAAGGGACATTTGAGGCATTTTTGGTTTCCACAGTGGGGAAGGGGAGGAGCTGGTGGCATCTAGCCAGTGGAGGCCAGGGATGCTGCTAAACACCCTACAAGGCACAGGAAACCTCCCACAACCAAGAATTACCCAGCTACAGATGTCAACAGGGCAGAGGTTAAGAAGCTCTCGCTTTCTAGAGCCATCTCTCGCTTATAATTAAGGCCAGCAAAGCCAACTTTGACTTTGGATCGGGTTTATTTTTATAGGGTTCTACCTGCTAATGTCTTAGCCAAACTTGTCTAGGTGGATTTGGAAATTGTGCCCTTAGCTCGACCTCTGGCTTCCAGGATTCATGACCCCCTCCTTGTCCAGGCTTCTGGGCTTGCCCTCTGTCCACTTCCTTTCAGCCACAGATTTCTATGTGTTGACTTCTGTTAACCATGTTACCTGCCCCCATCCTGCCTAGTTTACCCAGCCCCAGACCACTCCTGATATCATTCATCTATTGCTGCCCATGACTCTAGTGTATTACTCTCAGAAAATATGATTAAGTGCTATGTATGTTTTATAAACCTAATGAATAAGTGTGGAGATAAAGGCTAATGTACAGAGCAAGGAAGAACAAATTTACCAATTATTTTCTCTACATGCCTAAGCAAAGCTTATTGCTTCTTTGGCTAAAAGTTTTCACTTTTATCATTAATTGTTGGCTTAATGACCATTGGTTGATAAAAACCCTTGTAAGCTCACAAATAGGTTTTCATTTTAGAAATCTTCAACTGTCCCAATATCTAATCTCAACTGATTCATTCACAGTAAAGATAGCTATGACTAAAAATGCATCCATATTCTCTTTATTTTTTAACCCTGAAAGTAATGAAATTTACAATATTTTATCCAGTTAAGAAATGTATTTGGTTTTGGTAAGATATTTGGATCAACTCATTAATAGTCAAATATAATTTATCTATATCTATATCTATATCTATATCTATATCTATATCTATATCTATATCTATATCTACCTATATCATCTATATCTATGTCTATATCTGTATCTATATCTACATCTATCTATATCTATGTCTATATCTGTATCTATGTCTATATCTGTATCTGTATCTGTATCTATATCTATATCTATATATCTATGTCATCTATAGCTATGTCTATATCTGTGCCTATACCT